TAAGTGTAAATCTATGGTCATTTGAAATTGAACTTTTGGAGGAGTTCGTTTTTTAACACTTAAAACTTAATTCTTGCACCAAAGATATCCCAATTCATGTCCCCAAAAAACATTTCTATCAACTATTTGTCTCGACACATGAAGATAATGTAGCCAGACTAGCCAAAACTTCACTCGCACAATCCTCTGTGGGGTGAGCAAGACTGACGACCAACCTTACACAACAGGTGTGCGCGATGCATACTAGTACAGTATACGAAACGTCGTGTGCCTACATTGACCACAACCAATGTTGTCGAACTCCTCTCTTCAAAACTAAAGACAAAGTTGAAAACAAATTTCTGCGAGCCACTCACCCCGGAAAGAAATCTTGGCAACTCGTTCTGCCCGGGTCCGGAAACCCTGGGCACTCTTGAGCTGGAAGTGAAGCGACATTGCTGTGAGTTCTCAGCCTAAACTCCGGTCAGGATGAGTCGGGATACAGAGAGTATTTTCAACCAGCCATTTTGGCTGCGTCAGTGGTCCTCGCGCATGAAGTGTGTACTGTACAATAGAATACAGAATAGAGCAGACGACATTGTCGTGTTCGTTGAAGCATGAAGCTTAAAAGCAACCGCGCAAAGTGGATTTACGCCGGGCGAGATAAACCTTCGTTTAAAAGCGGTTCATAAAGAAGACTGATTGTTGCTCAAGGTTTTTTCCCCAACTCAGGGCCTTTTATTCAAGTTTCTCTGGTGTTTTACATTAGATTTTACAAAGAAGAGAAATCAAAACACTTTCGATTCACATTAGACATTAAAAAGTTACACAGCAAAGAAAAAGGCCCCATTTAGTAGGCCCTACTGGATTTAGCAGAATTTCCGTCAGAGGTAAAAATAATTCTTTCTAAGGCATAATGTCTTTTTAAATCGTCTTTAAACAATCAAAATGATGGTTTACCCCCGTTCATTTTCATCTTATAAATACGAGAGCGGAAAATCAAAAGAATTAAGTTGAGTACTTTCCTGGAGTTCTTAGAAATTGCAAAACGGATAGCTTTGTTATCCAAAACCACATCAATGTTCAGGGTATTTTTAAGCCAAATGCCGATCTGATTCCAAAAAAGAGGCAGAAAACTCGCAAGTACCGTACAAAAGAAACGCATCAAGGTTTCACTCTCAGCTTGACAAAGAGAAAACAAGTCATAATCTTTTTTATCAATTTTAAACAAATAAGAGTTATCGGCCAAGATTCTGTAAGTCTTAAAACCATCGCAGTTTTTTATCACATGTTAACTTAAAGGACAAACTGCATAACTCCAACCAATCAGTGAGAGGAACTACACTGAAGCCAGCTTCATTTCCCATCCATCAATAAACCCATAGACAACCTTCACTGCAGAGGTAAGAATAAGATACAGACAAGTAGAGCCCTTTTATCCAGCATAGGTAACTACAAATTAAAAGGAATGCAGCCGTTTCACAAAAGTGCGCCACCAAGAGTTTGCAACAATTGGCCAATCACAATGCGCGAAATTTGTCGACCCAATGCGCGTTTGGAAATGGTCGACAAATTTCGCGCGTTGTGATTGGCCAGTGTGATGCAAACTCTTGGTGGCGCACTATTGTGAATCGCTTGTTTTAGAGGAAAACATATATTAGAGTTGACCTGTGATAATGTGCTACGAAAAGATATTCTAGCAGTATTAATAACTCCACGTATTCCAAAAAGTTGGTCCTGATGATAAATTTTAGCATAAAGAAGTGACCTTCACTAATGAGCTGGTCACTTACGAAATTAACTCCTTTTAGCCCAGTGTTTATAAAAAAACCACATTTATGCATATAGGGCCTATATCGTCTATATTCTTCATTGTGTTCCATTAATTTCTTTTACTTGTCTAAGTTTTTTTCGGCGAGAATTTTATTTTGGCTGAGGAGAATTAATACTGACCTGCACTTTCTGAAGAAGAGGGGAAAAGTCGTTAAAATTTAAGCAACACGAAAATTAGTTCGTGCTTTCTTTATTGCTCCTGTCCTGCAGTTTATTGTCGGGATCAATCTAAAACCAGAAAATAATAAAAGACAAATCAACAATTATTATGAAGAGCAGCAATATGACCCGTCACCACACACAAGTACCCGGCGTTACTTGGTGAATGTCCCAGGGCGTTGCTATTTGGTTCACAAACCTACCGCCACGAGAGGGCGTCATCACGACCAAAGTAGAGAGGCGATGGCGTGAAACTGACATCAAGTTACGCTGGAACAAGCAATTAATTATTATTATGGGGGGGGTTCAAAAATTATTCATTGCTTCTCACCCCCTCATGCCAACCGGGCTGCAGTTTCCAATTCCCACTCTCACTGGCTGCTAGTTAAGATATTTATGAAGTATTTATGCTGAAGCATGAGTGCTCGCATCATGACTGCTAACCTAGTTTTAAATTTGTATTCGCGTTGAGCAGAAGCACCCGGCCCTCATCGGTTGAAAGGAGTCTTATTGGGGAAGTGTTATGATTTTGCTGGTAGTGACGCAACCGTAACGCGTGCGTTTCATAGTCGTTTGCGAACCAGCGAAGTGCAGTTCCGACCAAAGGAGCCTCCGTTGCGAAGAAAGTTGTGCGCTCTCTTGATCCAGCTCGGGGGTCATAGGCCTGGAATGATGTTGGTAGTCCAAACTTAGAAACGACTAATCATACAGAATTGCGTGCACTGCAAATAGGCCTACAGTAAATAAAATATTTGCATGATGAGAATTGAAGCATGCCATTCTTGTGTGTGTGGACCCTCTGTTTTTTCTCACATCCTTAAAATTTGTACAAAATTTTAATCTCGATATTCAAGAACAACAAGAGGGCTATATGTTTTGGGGTGGTTTCTCAGTATTTTTGTTGCTCTCGCTCTAATGCCTTTTACGCACACACTTGTGCGCCTGACATAGTCACTTCGGAACTCTATAGAGTACCGAAGTGAATACGTCACGCGCACAATTAGTGTGTAAAAGGCATTAGCGCGAGAACCCGCGCGTGAACCAACACGCGCGCGCACTCCATTCGTTTGCACTGCCTTTCTGGTTCACACTGACGTCACACTTCGGTACTCTCTAGCGCCCATGCAAGCTCGTATCCGGTTCGTAAGTGTGACGTCACTTCAGTTTAAACCACGCCCACTGCACACGTGCACTGCACATAGGGTTACGTGCATCGATCGCCGTTTACATGGAACCATAGAATCGGAAGTTAACGCGCGCTTTAAGCGATTGTCCAATGAGAGTCTGCAAATCGTGGCGCGTTTGCCTCTGTGACGAAGTCACTTACGAACCGGATAGGCTTGACGCGTGCGCGCATTTAGCAATTCAAAGCACCCGATCGGTCGAAGGGTATGTAACGTACGCGTGCATCACCTGTCTGCGAGCCTTGCGCTACCGCAGTAATAGCTTTATTCTGGATGCCTGACACTGATCTGAATAATTAAATCTATTATAGAGATCAGTGGTGCCGAAATATCCCCTACTAATGGGGAAACTAAAGGTATCGCGAACATTCTGCACAGTTTTTCATTCGAATTCATTTTCACTTGTGAATCTTTCAACAAAGTTTTCAGGAAGAAATTGTTCTACAAACAACGTGGGCCGGAAACATGTCTACTGCCTGGCCTGGTGCAAAATACATTTCAGTTGAATCCCAGTTTCGCAACCTCCCTTGGTTTTTTTTTTGCTTGTTAAGCGAAGCGTCTGCTCAACTCGAGATCAGTGGCGGCGGAGGGGGGCGGAGGGGACCAGTGGCCCCCACTTTTTGACTGAGGGGCATGACCCCTCATTTTTTGGAGGTCCTATAACGGAGCTATAGGGCTTATTGGATCATCCTATTAATGGCTGATGCCCAACTTTGAAAATCGTTCCGCCGCCGTTGATCGAGATCCTTCAGAAGACCTTTGCACAAATAAATTCCTAATTATGCACGCATGCGCTCAAATAGCCTTGGCAGCAAGGGCCGTTGAAAATGCAAAGGGTGCGCTTTTGATCATTTTCTCTCAGGTGTTCTGGCTTCGTTCATTTTTTTCTTCAGAAAATCCCAGTAAATCGTTTTTGCTATTAGTTTCTAATCTAAGCGGGATTGTTAGTGCTCTGTAGAAAGATTTACAGTCGTGATTTTTCCTGTGCGCACGAGATTAAGCGGAAAAAAATCCCGCTTAGATCAGTAACTCTGGCAAAAAAAACGATTTGATGGGATTTCCTGGAGAAAAAAAATGAACAACGCCAGAAAACCTGAGAGAAAAATACCACAATTGCACCCCTGTGCATTTTCAATGCCCTTGCCGCCAAGGCCATTTTGTGCGCATGCCTGCATAATTATGAATTTATTAGTGAGTAGGTCTAATCTTAGAGTTCCCGATTTCATTCACCAGGCCTACAACAAATGGGCCACAGTTCAGTTAGTCAACTTGCTGTGACTATCTGTATGTATCAAAGTCCTGCATGTAACATTCCTTCACCTACATTCAAACGGAGTCGTACCTTCTGCTGCGCATTCCCCTTAAAGCGATAGTCGGGGTCCAGTGCATTCAGTTTGGTGCTGCTCCAAAACGAATTCTTACACCCCCCCCAACAAAAAATCAAAACGGATAGTATACTAAACACCTTTTCTTTTTTGTTTTATTTTCTTTCCTCTGGAAAAGCAAGTTTGATTCTATGTGTCGTTGCTTTTTTCCCCTAAACACTTAATTCTTAATCCCGGTTAGGGTATGCTGTTTCCTATTTCTCTTCCCCCATTAAATACGACGGTAGTAAAATTTCTTTTGGTGGAGAGCCGGGGGGGGCTTATATTTCATTTCCCTTCTCCTTGGGTGTGTAAAGATCCATTAGATTCTACCTGAGAAAACCCAGTAAAATTACACATTACAATCGCACACCAGTTTGCCACGCACTCAACCCCCTCTTCCGAAAATGTGGTACTGGTCCGCCTCTCTGAACGCGACATTACACACCGGTCACGTTCGTATCGCTCTTCGTGACGCACACCCAAATACCAGTGGAAACATTCGCACGGGACGACCTCGACGGGCCGTCGATGGACCAGACTCCACTTCTGACATTCGACATATTCGACCTATAGTGACGGGCGCTTCGACGCTTAAATAGGACTCTCTGCAAGTCTGCCGAGGAAAACGGGTATGGCGGAAAACAAGGTAGGTTTTTGTGAATTCAAGACTCCTTCTCGCGGGATCTACCATAAGCGAGTATAGAGGCTGATGTGCCCAAGTCCAAGACTATAACATAATGCTTCGAATCGCCAGTAAGCATATTGGCGTAATTGGAGTGACTACAGAATAGTAAAATACTGACTTGACATTCAGTAATATTCCAGTATTTTTGATCTCCAGATTGATCGGGCTCAATGTCAAGAAGCTCCGTATAGTAATACATTTACAATGTACATTAATTGTCTTTCCATTTAAAATGCATTTACATGCACAGCCCCTGTAAACTTTAATAATCAACCCGGAGATCATGCAAATCGCACTTCTCGACCGTTATCGTCATAACAGATATCATTGAGCCTAGGCCTACCCGTGTAACTCCCGACGTTACGTTTGAGGTTGAAACTGTGACTGTGTAACCTGCCCATATACCTAGCATTCCCCTAATCGAAGCCGATCTAATCGTAGTTATATTGTGAAGACTATCATATGAAGGTTGATAATGTAGCACTGGCCTGTCCCCATGTTCCTTGTCCATTTCCCGACTCCACTGCTTCTTTGTCGGACTGTAGCTTTCACCTCAGGTCCTTCAATCATGTAGACTCGAGAGGGAGAAATCTATCCTGGCCCAACTCTGCCATGATCAGAGGATGTTGCCAGAGCCGGTGTAGGGGTACTGAACTCACGGGACTAAATTCGTGAAACTGAGGTTTTTTTCAAAAGTTTGTTTTGCTGTGTTAATAAGTATTCTTGGCGCCTCTTGAGGTTGTTAGCTTATAGTAAGCTCCTCATTCATGAGCAAACTGTGAAAGGCCTTCGTGTTTAGTTTATATTTTCCGGCCCTAAATGTTCCTTTTCTTGGGAAGTGATTGTGTAGGCGCATGGCAATGGGCTAACAAGCAACCCCTTCTCAGAAATGTTTTCAATGAGAAAATTTTTGGTTCACAATTCAAACAGAAAAATGCATGAAATGACCATCAGTGTCTTCCCTGATTGATTCAAAGTCTTCCCAGAGATGTTTATTCTGAAGTTCACTTTTGAATACAGTCAACCCCACAAGGATGGCAAACAGTTTTTCAGACGTTGAAGAAATATAACGCACAAAAAGATTGTCTCGGACAAAATCATCGCATGTCGTGTATGGGAAGTAAGGCACATGCTGAATTTAATTAGAAATTGTTGCGCACCAGCCACCGGTATTGTAAGGGATTTTACATGAGATCCACCCGGTGGCGTAGCCGGGGGGGGGTCTGGGGGACACGTGCCCCCCCTTCACAAATTCCCGGTGCCCCCAGGTTCCCCCCACTAAAAACGGATGAATGGATATTGAACAATGCTAACAAAATCTTGCCCCCCAAAAAACACACCACTGAGAACTGGTGCCTCCCCTGTGCCCCCCACTAGTAAAATCCTAGCTATGCCACTGGATCCACCATGGCAGGATAATGCAACTTGGAATGTCTCTATAATTATTGAGACTGTCTGTCTATCGTAGGTCCCTGGCCTCCCCGTCCATGTTTATAATCACTTATATGCAGCTTATTTGTTTTAAATCCAGTGCTCTCATTATCCTTGATGCTACATGCAGGCGTTGGAATCTGTGGTATATTGGTTATTGTTGCTGCTCAAGACCTCAAACTGCGGTCGTTTGGTCGTGACCGATGGACCAACACCGATATCCAACATATAGACCTCGAGCCAATCCTATGAAAGACACAATTGAGTTGGTCGCTAGAGGGGCCGCACTGTAGAGTGGTCCCGCTTCTCTTGTTGTCAGATCAAGGCATTGGGTTCAAACAGGGTTTCTCACCTTCAATCCTTCAGGACCCCGAGAAAGGCAGCATGGTCGGGAGCATCAGGATGCTGGTCGTCATAACGACCAGCATTCTGGTGGTAGTGGCTGCCGCCAAAAACTCCCTGACATGGCTCCTAGATGAGCTACTGCAAGCGAGCGGTTGCTTCTGGACCAGACAGTACGAGTGCGTCTACAACCTCTTTGGCGGAGACGAGTTCTTGATCGCTTCTCTAGGTTTGCGTTTTCTTTCGGTCTCTTGGTTGCTATGTGCGGATACTTTCTGCACCATTAGGCCCTAGTTTGAGTAACGCAGAGCGACCATTCCATTTATACGTATTGACAAAAGAATGATGTATCTGCACTTTTGAAAATGCGTTTTGTTCGCAGCATCAAGTCCTACACGCACGGCATAAACACTGTGACAATTACCAATGAGTCAACCTTGCTCTACCAGAAATCTGGATGTGCTCTGTTGCAGCGGCATGCTGGGGGGGGCGCAGGCCCCACGACCCCCCCCCCCATGTAATCACGATTATGTATATTCAAACATCCAGTCAGGCCACTCGCCCCCGTTGCTAAGAATCCTGGCTACGCCACTGCTCTGTTGGTCATTTGGTTTTCAAAAAAGACATGAAACTGCAAGTATTTGAGTGAACCACTCGGAAGTGGTGTTACTCTTTAAAAATTACTTCTTTTCACACCCGCCCATGATTACGATATTTTCAGAGCTAGAGACGCAGCATCTCCGCCCGAAACTGGACAGTATTTTTGTTTCACAGACAACTTTTATAAAAAAAATTCACCTTCTGTCTGTACGACCCCATCGACAGGGACACTCTTGGTGTCGATAGTGGTTTACTGGATTCTTGTGTCCGGACTCCTGTTTGTTGATGCCACTGGGAAGCCATCTTGGATTCACAAATACAAGATACAACAGGACAAGAACATACCGGTACGTGGTGCGAATTTTTCGTTATTTTCCCCACTCCGGTAATAAGGACCAAGGGTGGGTCGTGCTGTCCGCCTGTAATTCGGGCTGGTCTGGTGAATTTAGATTTTATTTTCGGTACCCACGTTACACGTTTTAACCTGGGATACGTGCTTGCATTGAAATGTGTGTAGGAATGTGTTTAAACGCTGAACATTTTTCCATGGCACGCTGTTAGCTTTGCAAAACCCGCTTAGCGTTCAAACGCGCTCCTAAGCCCAGGTCGTGCATGAAACGCAAAAACAGCTGGCATAAGGAAGTGTTTAGAGATGTGTTTGAAATCGTAGCGTCTTTTTTTTTTTTTTTTTTGGCCAGTGTAAAGGCCAAAAGGCCTATAGCGCTGTAAGCGCACTAATTAGTCTAATATTGCCACAAAACATCAAATAAGATGCAAGAGAGCAAAAACTTACAGTAATTCAATTTGATTTAAACGCTTCAGGCTCACAATTGGGGGATTGGTTTCGGGGACGAAGCTTGAGACGGAGAGGAAGTCGAGTATTGGAAAACGGCCCGGAAACGTTGCTAGCGCTATTTTCTTGAACTGACACACACTTGCAACCGAGTGTTAGTTCATGATGTCGGTGACGATTTAACCCTGAAGGAGGAAGTGGACAAATTTCGTGGAACCAAGCGAGAGGGACATCGTTGCACGTCAGTCCGAGCCAGCACGCGTGTTTGTATGGGGATACATGCATGGCTACTCGATGCAGACAGTCGGCGAAGTTGAACCTGGCTCAACTTTGCCGACCATTCGCAGGCTGGTTGGCGTTTGTCTGCGCTGCGGCGACACTTCCGTTTGGCACGTTTCCATATGTCTGCGTTGCAGTTTGCGTCTTGATTGCGCTGCCTCTGCGTTTCGTACGTCGATATGGAAACCAGGCTTCATGTGTGTAGTGCACAGTGAGTCATAGATTTGTTTTCAGCACTTTTTGTACAAAGTACAGTGTAACTTTTCTGTTCTCTTTCAACTCAAATGGGTGGAAGTGAACTGTGACAACGAATGGAATCATGACACAGCAGAACAAGAGCAAAACTAAATCCAGGCGCTTAATCTAGGATTCCAGCCGGCACATTTTACTGCGCATTATTAAAACCCATTGATGCTGTTTGGACCGGATTAGGAATCGACATGGCAGATGTTCGGAGAGGAAATCTAAGAATTGCCTGATACTATACTTGTATGATACAAACTTTAAAGTAACTGAGACATTTTTTAAGACTGATGACGGAACTTGTGTAAATAGGATTCACTTTTGAGCAGACAAGATGGCTGACAGACGCCCCGCTATCCTGAACATAATCATGACTTGTTCCTGGGCGTGGTTCACCTTCACGAGGAGCATAAGACAACGCCAAATATAAATAACTTCATCAAGAACACAACACTTTAGATTTATTCCCCTCGACTTGAAGGTTTCAGATTTTTTGGACTGGTTCAAAAACATTACCTGTCCTGTCCTCACCAGGTGGATCCGGCTCTGCTCAGGCAAGCGGTGACGGGGACCCTATTCAATCAGTTTGTGGTTGGGCTCCCCTTTGCTCTCGGGTACGCCTGGTTGGCTGAAATGCGCGGGTGTAGCGCCTCCACCCGCTTGCCTGACTTCCACACCGTGCTCCTGGAGATGCTGGTGTTCTTGGCAGCGGAGGAAATCGGTTTCTATTACTCCCATCGGTAAATAGGCCTGTATGCACCTTTATTTAAAGGTGTTTTTTTGCAATACTTGTGGGCCTACAGGTGTACATCAAAGGTAACTTTGTGCGTTAAACAGATGCTATCTTATATGGCACTAGGGTCAAATGCGTGTCTGGATGATGTCACCTGTATGCACCAAATGGCACAGGAGAAACCGGAAAAAAGGTACAGCGCTAAGAAACTAAAACGTCATTTCCGTTTTCAAATATTGAATTTTGAAGTGAAACTTTCTGACATTATTGAACGCTCTTTCCATGTTAAGAGATGTACATGGATATTGCTTTTGTTTATCGAACATTTTAATTTACATAAGCACCGATGCCGTCACATGCAGAGGCGCCACATGTCATACATTGCACCGACGTCATTCTGACCGACGTTTATGATAAGATGTCAGGCGGTGACGCTAATGTGCCCAATTCGTTCCTACTGGGATCTGGCGAACAACACTCTGATGAGCCCAACTCTAGTATGAATAGAGAATTTTTTTTACAGTTCTTGTTTAGTTTTCCGGTTTCCTTGTGTTATATTTTCCAGGTTGTTTCACCACGGCTTCTTTTACAAGCGAATCCACAAGCGCCACCACGAGTACACCGCGCCGTTCGCCGTGTCCAACTTCGACGTGCACCCGGTGGAGCACGTGGTGGCCAACCTGGCCCCCATGGCCGCTGGGCCGCTGATCGCCGGTTCGCACGTGGCCGTCCTGTGGCTGTGGCTAGCCATTGGGACCTTCTCCAGCCTGCTGGCCCACTCCGGCTATCACCTGCCGTTCTTCCCGTCAACTCAGGCTCACGACTTCCACCATCTCAAGTAAGTTCTATAAGTTCAACTCCGTGTGGACTCTCCACACAAACTAGATGCAGTTGACAGCGTCATCGTGATCAGTCATTAAGTTGTGCACATTCAGATACAAATTGGCCGTGCGCACCCAGGAATTGTCTTTGGGAGGGCTCAGACGGCAATTCATCTCGAAACAACTTTTGACGCACCATGGACAGGGGACTGCGATGTGCGGGGATATTATCAAAGATGGCAATAGAAAGAACGAACCGGAGGGGGGGGGGGCCGAAGACCTCGATGGCCCCGGGATTGGCCACTAATGGGTACTCAATTTTTACCTCTAGTTTCTACTAGGTGGATTGCCTGCATGTGGACTCTGCTTCCAGGATCCTAGTTCCTAACTAGTACGCCACTCTTCTCGCTAGGCACCATCTGTATTGGCATGACGCAAGCAAGATATTCCAAAATCCCTTGAAGTTTAACATTTTAGGACCTATGATTAAACACAAGAGAGATTTATCGGTTGATTCATATGTTCCGGAATCCATTGCTTTCAGATCTGTCAGTAACTTCGGAGCTCTGGGCATTCTCGACCGACTGCACGGCACGGACGCTGCCTTCAGACGGTCAGAGAATTTTCAGCGGCACGTGTTGTTGACGGGATTGACGCCTGCGTCTCAGCTGGGCCCAGCGAAGGGCAAGTAGGCGAAACACTTCATGCGACTCCAATGCAAAAATGCACGCGTCATGCGCAGTAATAATAACAGTTTTATGAGAAACCCGATTGTATGTCCAGGCCATTGCAAAATTTTATGTGTGATGCATAACATTCGAATTTAGTGACTTACACTGAGGTTGTGTGTAATGTCGCCTTTGATATTGCCGCAACCTAGAGAAAGCATCTCGTTGTAGGATCATTTGACCAACCGATCACGCTCTACACCGAGTCACTTGGACAGCTATTGTATACAAAATATCTGGCCCATGAGAATTATTTTCTGGCACAGCTGGAACACAATTAGATAACGCTTCCGCCAACTAGTAATGTCTTTTGTTGTGCAGTTTGCTTTGATTTCCAGTCGTTTTCTGCCCTTGCAATTGGCACAACCGCAGCTCATGATGAAAAAGAACGTGTAAGCGCCTCTTCACACTTTACCATTTTCTAGAGTTTCTGTGTGCTTGCTCTAGATTTAGTTTCCGCTGGGGTGAAATCTCTCTTCTTCTAACCTGTTGGGTATTACCGTAATTTTGTGCAGACAAAAAAATGGGTGCAAGTGTGTACGGACCTTAAAAAAGAATGCATGCAGGTGGCTCCAATATTTGTTGCCTCACGTTATATTAATCGGCGTGATGTACTCAAAGTAGACTCCACTGAATGTACTTAATTAAACAAGCTTTGTACATAATGGGCATAAAATGGCATTTCGGTGTCTCTTTGGAATACTTGTAGACAAGCTGAATGAACTCTCGATCGTTTCTCTTTGGTAAATTTGTTCATGTCTGTGCAACAGTGTGCTTCAAGGTGATGAGGGTTTCCATTTATAATTGATATAAAATTTGTTTATATATTATATAACACATCACAATATAACAATATATCCTACAAGAATATTATCACAAATTAAGTAAAACGTAAATTGATACTTTATTCATAGATACTTTGTAACTGTTGGACAGTTTAACTATTCCTATTGGTCGACAGCCTGTCACGTGACCAGTCTTAATGAAGAAGGTGGAAACATGCCGCAGAAATGCATTTGACAACGTGGTAAGGTTTCATGCCGAAACAGTTGGACAAAGACAGAAAGGAAAACGAATCTTCCCATGTTTTTGTGTTTTTTTGTATATTTTTTATTTCCTCTAGACCAGCTACATCGTCTCAGTTTTCTTGTGCGTATTTTTGGAGAATTTGTATTAGTCAATAATTCTGTTTGTTGTTAAGAGAGACGTTTTGGGGATGGAAGAGACGTAATCAGGCTTTCGTTGTCAATGGAAAATTATCGAGATTTAAGTCTCCAATGACGGTGGTTTCCGTCTCATGGCGGCCATGTTGAACGTGCACAAGTGTTACGGACACGCATGCGCAGTCCCACAATCCTTTGCAAATGCAACTCCTAGCATTCCTTATCGCCCGCAAGCGGCGCGTAATTTGTTTTGTCCTTGCAACACGTGCAGTGCTGGCGGTGGCCATCACTGACTCTTTTGATCTCTGTATGTGCTTACTTCTTGTATTTGACAGTTCCATGGTATTTGCCAACCGATTTTGCCCTTTTTTGGCCAAAGTGCTTCGTTTGGCCACACGTGAAACAGCTGAATCTCCGAGAGGTTTTGTGATATCGAATCAACAAAATCTTCGTATAAATTAATGACAAGTTGATTTACAGAATCTGGTTGAATGATTTACAGAAGCTTACAGACAGAATCTGGACGACATTACTCACCCCACGTATTTCTCTTTACCCGGCTGATGTTCCGATGGGCAGTACAAGCGTTCTTCCTGTGTGAATCGTGAAAAGTACAAATCCCGCACTGTAAATCAAGCTTACCTATTCCGTAACAATTATTGTAGAATGTTCACACTTTTACATGAAAGTGGCTACATGTATATATGCCATGATAGCATTATAAACTTAACCAAAAATCTGATTTGAAAGGGTTTGAGAAATAAAATAAAATACAGCTCTTTACCCAGTAAATCCAAGTGTCAACAATCATTGCCTACATGGATTATATCGGCCTGGGCATTTACAGAAGTAGCAAGGTTAATAAGCCTTCACACAAGGCTACAGCATGGAACAAAACAATCTCACTCACCTTACATTTCCTCTGAGAGTGTCTGGGATTGTCTCAGATTATCTCGTTTGAACCTACATTGAAAAAAGTACAAGTGGTAACATTTCGAATGGTTTAATCTAAATTTAGATATCGTAATCATTCAAAGTCTTTAAGAAAATGTCTATCCTAAACCCTCAACTAGAAAGTTTCAGACTTTTACGGGAGGAATAACACCGGAAAAAATCAATTTCAAACTGACCACTGAAATTAGAAGTACTTACCATCAGAGGTGCAACTTGTTTCATTCGCCACCGTTCGGATTAGTCGACTCGTGGGACCATAGTAAGTTGTCGAATTGAAACTAGAGTTGGTCGAGATGAGTTGGTAAACAGGCAAACCTGGAGATTTCCTTCCCACCGTACTGTCATTCGACGGTAAGTGTGCAAGCTTTAAATCATTATGATGCACTGCACGGACTTCAAACCGATTCATATTAGTTTGAGTAAACCAGCAGCAAATTCGTTCTTGATTTTGGTTTTTTTTTCCTGCAATTACTTTTTCAATGAAGGGGCATTTGCCGTTTTTTCTTTTTAATTGAGTTTGTGACAACATAGTGTCAAGTAATCTTCCACCTGCATGTGTGATGATGGACACTGTCCTGATTTTGCCCAAGTCCAAATTTGCATGACAGCAGCCAGAAAAAGGGTTGCATCTTCTCTGAAGAATTTAACGTTATCATGTTAGCGACAAGTTTGGTTTGATTTTCAAATGTCAGATTTCGGAGTTCAAACGCAGCGAACAGTTCGTGATTGGGTGGAAGCGAGTCACTTTTTAGGTTTCGCGCTCGTCTGCAACTTAAAAAAAATGACAAGCAATTACACGTACCGCATGTATTTCTCTTTATCGGGCTGAAACTCAGACAGGCAGGGGTAGCATTCCACCTGTGTGAATCAAAACAAGAACAATTCCCGCTCTGTCAACTAAATGTACAGTGAAATTCCACACTTTTATATGAAAGTGGCTATACACGTGCCATTATAATGAGCTTAACAGGAAATCCGTTTTGGACGGGTTAAAAAAAGATAAAAACGCCGCTTTTTACAAAGGAATACCAAGTTAACAAGCATCGTTTGCAATGTACACATTGACCAGGGGTAACGCTGGGGACATGTAGCACGAAGAAACTTTTCTTTCGGTTGACAACTTGGATCGTCTGAAATTACCTCCTTTTAACCAGGTGGAAAAAGCAAGAGGAATCAAATATGAAACGGTTCGAAGTGAAATTGCAATATTCTTAACTAGTCTTTGAGCCAATGTGTGCAAGTTCATTTTTAAACTGACCGTGAAATTCAAAACACTTACCCATCAATAGCCAATCCGTGGCCGAGCTAGTTTCATTATATTCATCACTGACCGGATCGGTACGGTCGACGCGTGCCACCGTATAAGGATTTCGAGTTGAAACCAGAGTTCGTAGGTTGAAGGTCACTAAGTAATGTTTAAGACCGGCCAAGAACATTATTTATTTCGTTATTGACTTTTTTATTATTTTTTCTGCATTACGGTTGAGTACGGAAGAGTACAAGGGCCACGTGCAAAAGCTGTGAGAAACTAGCACTTTTTTTTTCAAATGCCCCTTATACGCTCCCGTACCCACACAACGTTTTCACTTTGAATATTCTACGTTTGAAATCGGAACATTTTAGTAACTTGACTAATGGCCGAGAAAAATAAACACTGATTTTAGTTGTCGATCAAAGTGTATTCATTTCATATCTTCAAGTTGGTGGTTTTTAAGATTGAGTATCTTGTTTATAATCAGAAACAAGTTGAAACATTCTCGTATCTGATTCCATTCAACACTTTTTTGGTACTCAGCAAAATTTCACAGAACTAAACTAGTCAACCCAGGTATCTCTCTTTTTGGACCAACATAAAAGTGAAATATAAGAAATAACATCACTATGTAAATGTGACCACATCATTTATCTGCGACACTAACATAAACATGAGCCAAAATTCTAATGTTCTGTTTGAAATTCACAAGATGAACTCGAAAAGTGCAACTACATGTTAGTTGTTTTTAATTAACTTCCATGCCAAAATATTCCTAAAAGGAAGATATACACTGTTGATACAATACACTGACATAAATTAAATATGCATTATTAAATAAGTATTAATATACTTTTTAAACTGCAATATACACTATATGCTATTCGAAAAATATTGCTTTCAATATACAATCAACTGCTTTCGATCACTTGTCACTAGTAAGTTGAACAGTTTTGTATCTCATGTACAGAAAAGTATTCTTTAAAGTGCAGTTTGTTGATAATCACTATACATATTTTTACATTCATGCCACTCATAACAATCTACATATAAATATCTTTTAAAAAGAAATGCAATTAATTCACTACACCACCCATCAAATCCTACATCTTGATATCTTAATAAGGCTCGTTTTTTTTCCACAAATTCTTACTTTGGTTAGAGCAACAAAAGCGGAATATCAAAATATTACAATAGCCGACTAAAACGTCACACTTGTGAACTTGCTCACAAGCAAAATGACTCATAGTTTGATACATTTTTATATTACAGGAATTGAGGTGTTTCACACCAGTGCTAGGTTTATAACTCCTTACACTACAGATAAACTTGTTCCTAAATATATTTTTATATTAAAAAGGTTAACTGCGGCTTAAGACATGGAGTATTCATAACCTCCTAACATACATGTAGGCCTATTTCTATTAACCACATCTGGTTTACTCTCACTTCGTGCATCGTGAGTACATGAAAGTATTTTCAGAAGTAAAATGAGAAATGAATGTTAACTTACCATAATGCATATCTTTCTCAATCACTGTGTGTCTTTTTCAAAATAAAACAAGAGGCTCTATGTACGGAGGGACAACGTTATTTTTCAGCCATGCGGCATCAACATCAAATTCCTAACCACAATAGTTATCTTAAAAGCTCTCAAATGTCACCAATACTTCTTTTTTTTTCAATCAACCGATCTCTGCAGTTTTTAGACAATCAATGAAAGATGCGTGTCTCGTTTTTTGGAAATAGTTACTTCTTCACTCTCTGGTGGTGTTATCTGTCCGATGCAAATGCACATGTCGGGGCGGCCATCAGATGGTCTCAAGATCATCCACGTCTTTGATTGGCATTGGGGAAACTTTACCACTATGTGGTCGCTTCTGTGCAAGGAAAAAAGTGACAAAAATACTCCCTAAACTACGGATGGAGAAGACTGCTCAAGTCACAGAACTGTTGCACTCAAACCTGAAGTAAGTTTCAGACAACATGACAGGCAAATTTCATTCTTTCTACGATCTCAGTGGAAGAGAGAGAGAGTGAGATTGGTGTGTTGGTGAGAACTTGGGCAAACTTGGTGCGCCCACTGAGGCTCACAAGCAGCTCACAAATGCACTTAACTGGCTAAAAGAGTGTTCCTGAACTCAAAGAGGGACACATCAGTAACATGCGCATCCAAAAGTTTCTACACTAAGCATGCTGCTGGGCTGAAAACATCTTGTGATAAGTACATGTATTTTGTAAATATAAACTGGGATGCAGGGAGCATACATGTCAAAGTTCAAAGGATTCAAAGTCAATATTTGGACATCATAACTAATGAACCCAAATTGCACGCTTCAGTTCAGTTGAAGTCATAACTAGGTAAGTTGAACCAAAAAATTCTGCAACTTGGGCAGAATTCAAGCGAATAGGGTTATCTTGTGTTTAACCACTTGATGCGGATGATGTGTGAACGCACATACTTTTCCTCTTTTGTTTCATGGAGAATGTGTACACTCATTAAGGCATTTTTAATTTAAGCTGTTGACAGATTAACACGTCATACTTTATTGGGTCAAAGCACAATTGCAAGGTTGAAGATTCACTGGTAAGAAAACACGCTCCCAGTAGCTCTTTCAGGTAAGAAAATCTGACATTATCTGGCCATGAACACAGAATAATTGAAGGGGAGGTTTTTAGAAATCTCATTTTCAAAATTGAAATTGACAATTCTTTGTAACATAAAATTAGGAGGGCTTTATACTCCTAGCCTGAAAAAATTCCAGAACCAGCCCCACTGAGATGCGGGTCCTACAGCTAGCATGCACTAGTCTTATGTGTGCGTTTGAAAGGATAGGTAGATGGCTAGATGTGATGAAAAGGAGTCTGCATGACTTACCAAGTGCTTTCGTTGAGTGACATCAAGGAGGGCTGTGCCGCTCCCTGGCCGGCTGGAAGGTGAGTCTACACATATATAAAATGAAAGTGACATGAGCATAACTTTAATACCATCTAGGACAGAAGATGTTAGCCTTTAATTCAGCTGGTTCAACTGCAGCACCAGGATTGATGGAATGGAGAAGTCATGAAGTTTGTCGAGGAGCAACTGCCTGACCTATCATGAGAGTTCCAAAGTTGGGGACAGGCTGGCTGGCTGGACGCAGTGGTTCATGAGGGTACAGCGTAAAGTACTCCCAGTTAACTTTCATTTCATAAGTAATATAAATTAACATCTTCATATGGCATTCAGCAGATGGCAGTAGTATCATTCAAAATTCAAATATCGAGTGACCAGAGGTGGGCTGGGGTTGGGTGGGGTGAGCTGGAGCAGGTTGGGGGGGAGGTGAACTGGGCTGGGGGTGGGGGGGGGGAACTGGGGAGGGCTTGGGTTGGGTGGGGTGAGCTAGAGTGGGTTGAGGTGGGTGGGCTGGGCTGGGCTTGAGTGGACTGGGTTTGGGTGGGGCGAACTGAAGTGGGTTGGGGTGTGAGCTGGGGCGAACTGGGCTGGGCTGTGAGGACATGGGTTGTTAGGACATTGGCAAAGGAACTCTTCTTAGAGGGACTACAGGTTCTTATTTTTAAGACCGTGAAATTCAGTCAGGATTTAAAACCTTAAGAGAAACCTTCTCATTACCGCTACTCTAAAAACGCGCAATTTATAATGCTTTTGCTGTTTTCCTCTAAGTACGTTTTGATTATGGAGTTCATACATTTCAACAACAAAATCACATTCCAAATTCAACAAGATTCTGATCTAATGCACATTTAATTTCAAGGATTACAGCTAAACAACAAAGAGCAAGGTAATAAATTTGTGTTTGTTTCTGAACCCAGGAAAATGCGTGGAATGTGATTTGACAGCTTAGGTTGATAAAATTCACCACATGTTTCACGCGGGACTAAAATGAGTATTTTAAATTGCTCAAGAAGACAGGTGGTTGGGATGCGGGCAATTTCGTCATGCCACGAGGCTTAATCTTTGTTTTGAGGTACGAGACTAGTCCTTGCATCAATCGACCAAGCAACAATAACTACCACTTATACCTGAGCGGAGGGAGGTGAGGTCGGTGTACTGCTCTTTCCGAGTGTGTTCATCAGCCGGCTGATGCCTGGTGTTGGAGCTGTTGTCTGCGCTGGTGGCCTTCTTGGATGAGTACACGAAGGACATGGAATGCTCCTGTTGAAACGACAGATGCCGAGGGCCAACTGAGGCTTCTGCATTCCAATTCTCAATAGTATTGAAAAATGCAAACCAGGGATGCATTCGCTCGAGTGAGCAAATCCGGAACAGTGCATAAAAATTGTGCGCATTGTGTGGAAATTTTGTGCATATTTTGTGCGACTCAAAACTATTGTACCTCCCTACTACTGTTGTAATAATTGAAACCAAAATTACATTGAGAACAAAGGTGAAATGAAACAGCCACATCAATTTAACATTAATTACGCAAAGACGCAATCTGCACCAATTATATCGGTCGTATCGGTCAAAATCAGTCAAAGGACATATGATATGTCTTGGTACTGTAGAGGGAGAAGTGGAAGGAATGTTTGACTGGCTGTGACAGTTACGGCAAAATGAGGGTTAATGAACTAACGATGCAGCAGGCTTCCAAAAGCATGACCTCTGATGAATCAATCAAATGGTTTAGGCCTATTGTTACTCAAACTTGGTCGAGCTGTATTTGAACAAGAAAGAACAGGGTTGTGCCAATAGGACAAGAGCTGCCTAATGTCGAACACTTGGTCACTAGAAAGAGCGAACAATGAATCAATTTACCAGTGTGTCTCTTTCGTGGGCCAGTTTCTGCTTTTCCCTCTTGCGAACAAATGCAGTTTTCACCTGTTGGTTTGGAGTAGGAAAAATTACAACCTTCCACTGCAGTAATTGAAAGGTGTTGTTGAAGCTAATGGGTCAATCAAGACTGCACCTGATGACTTGTGAGTTTACTGGAAATTATAGCAAATCAAGGCCATGTATATCTGGTACAATACCATAACCTTTGGGCCTTGTTCAATGCTGGGATGATGCAAACTATAGGATCACAGTTAGGAGAGTTCTACAGAGCTATATACAGGCTTAATGTAGCAACTAGGGCTGTTTTCCAATAATCGTCTTGGGCTCCGTCTCAGGCTTCAATTTAATAACTACCTGACTTTGAGGTTGTTAGTGCAATAGTAAGTCTGACAGTACCACAAAACATCAAGAAAGATACAAAAGAGCCAAACATTACAGTACTTCAATTTAATTAAAATACTTCAGGCCCACAATCGGGAATTGTTTTCAGTGACGAAGACTGAGACGCAGACGAAGCTGAGTACTGGAAAACGGCCCTTAGAATTAGAAGCCATTTCTGTTGTAGGACCACGCTTGCATAAGAGGTACATGCTGTTATGCACCACTTTGACAAGGTGTTGTGCCACCTTTCAGACCATAAGCCTGGTGCAGTCAGTGTTGTAGTTGAGACCATCACAAGACCAGACACAAGACTATGC